AACTGCCCACCACTGCGCAAGTCTGAGCTCGAGTACTATGCCATGTTGTCGAAGACGACCGTGCACCACTTCTCTGGCACGAACGTCGCACTTGGCACTGCCGCCGGAAAGCTTTTCCGTGTTGGGTGAGTAGTCCTATATATTTCAATCTGCAATTCAGGCTAAACGGATTATCTCAGGGTCATGACTGTCACCGATCCTGGAGACTCCGATCTCCTCACCTTCGCAGAGGGAAACGCTGCATAAAACTAAAATTGCGATGAGATGCAGGAAGTATAGGTTCACGCGCTCTACCATAGCCATATTTCGTGCATCAGCGTGCTAGTAATTATGTTCGCTACCTGTCGTTATGATTAATGCAATGTAAGGATGCCGCAACATGTTCGCTGAATATATCGTGTCTTCTGGCCTATAAACTCCGAGGGAACAAGCAACAAACGATGTTCTCTATCCGCATGCGCACAACCAATCTACTGGCTGATTCTGAGGGGCCATCATCAACAGTAATGCGAAGGCTCACAAGCCTCAAGATCGCCAAACCGGAAAATGTGTTTCGATCAGTAGGCAAACAAAATTCAACGACAGACAGAAATCCTCGAGAACCTGTGCTCTGACTGATTGTGACCGGTGACCGATCGGGAAAACAGAAGAAAGAAAGGTCATTTTAAACAATACATCGCAGAAAAGCAGTACAATACTGTCGAATAACGATTATTTGCAGTGTATAGTGTACCCGTAGCAGTACGAGATAATGAAGACAGCACAAGATGACGACGAACAGTAGATGACTCGAATGCGACAACAACGACAGCCATTTAGTAGACACGATTCTGCCTCTCGCCGCTACAGCCTGAGTAGCAAGACTTAAACTATGCTTCTCTATTGACCACTCCATCTTTTGCAAGCTCTCCGAATTTCCGTTCGAAGATGGAAAAACCGATGGTCGTAGGAACGAAATCGTTGTGCGGAGGAGGGCTAGGCATGAATTGAGGATACGAGAGCCTTTGGTTCTCGCTCAATGACGGCGGCTTCCTTTGCACGTGGTGGTGGAGGACAAGTTGCTTTGATTGCAAGGACGGATTCACTGGACGAACCAGATCATCGAGTGGAATGATGCGGTTCGAATCTGAGTCATCCTCGTCTGGTGCGTCTAATCGTCTCCATTTTCGGGAAATCGGTGCCACCGGCGCGAGTGGACCAAAAGGTTTGTGAGGTGGCAGTGAGACGAGAGGAATAGTGAATTGCCATTTATGTAGTTGACGCTGTGATGGCAATGGTGGAGGATGAGTCATAATTCGTCGTGATGGTGGTGCAGTAGCGACGAGCCTGTCAAAGGCCATGGTCATGGGGCTATTGACGAGATCTTCATGATCAGTCTTGAAGTGGAGTTCGAGTTGAGATGCTCGCGGAAAAACTCGCTCGCAATCTGAAAAGGCAACACTGAAAATGAAGTTGATTGCCATTTTCAGAGTGAAACATACCTCGGACTGGACAACTAATTGCAAGACGAGACAGATGGCTGAGGTCCACATGTGCTTTAAGTGCATCTCTTGAGGTGTGTACACGACCAGCACATCTCAAATATCGACATTGGTACTGTCCCTCCTGCAAGGACACCAGATCAGCAAAATAAGGTAAGTTGATGGATGAAAAAACTCACAATGTTGGATGTGCGATCACAGTGCCTTAAGGTATGCTGTGTAATAGGGAGGCATGTATTAGTACTGACCAGTAATGGAGGATGGTGTGGATGAAATGGGTAAAGTGAGTGAATACTCACTCCAAGAGCACATTAGAAAACCTTCAGCATGACCACTCAGCACTGTTGACTTGAGAGCAAAATGTGACAGCTGAAGATTTTCTAAAGTATCCCTGGAGATGAGGACAGCTCAGTACACCACCATCAGAACATCTATGACTAGTGTCTAATACATCTACTAGTACAGTAGATCAAGAGCTAATCTAAATTCACCTTTGTCAAATTATACCAACTGTTGAGAATAACTGTGCACCCTTCCCACTCGCATGGCATGGGTTTGATTACTTGATGAGCAATATTAGTGATTTCATGGGGGGACAGGAGAAGATCCGAGGGCCCAGCAACCTCAGACATCTAACAAAAGATTGGTGGTTGAAAAGTTGAACAGTGTGTTTTCCATGACAGAAATAAACATAGGTAAATATGCATGACCACCTTCTCGATCGGCGGATGACTAATCTCCCTTCGCTGTGGACGTCGTTTTCAACTCTAGCCTGCCAAAATATGATTGTCTGAAGTGCGTAACAGTCAAGATCAAATCCCATCACAATCAAAATGGACTAGGCTGGCAGACTTGTCACTGTCACTCATGGGATCATTATCAGCTGTCGAACATAATTTGGAGTAATTAATGGCCATTCTTTGCAGGACATTTCTAAATCTAAACTTGGTAAATCAAGTGTTGGAAGTCACATCTGTGTTCACACTATGTGGTAGTAAGTACTGTGCCCAAATTGTGGCAGAGTCGAAATTTTGCTTTGTTGACACTCGTGTCTCAACCATAGTGCAGTCACCAGAGTCTGTTCGTAGTCTAATGCCCAATCTCATTTGTTTCATTTCTTGTGGTTTATGTCATTAGGCTGGTAACGAACTACATATACTATCATGCTCCAGCCTGAGTAAGAATTTTCAACCGTGCTTCGGCCGCTCGGGCTCTTCGTTCCCGCTCCACCTTTGCTCTCAACTCAGCAGTTAAGCCAACAACACGATCAGCTGCGCCGGACGAACCTCCGAGCTTTCGAGGAGCCGTAGGGTCTTGAGAGCGAAGCTCCGACTTTGTTTCCACCTGTTCGTCATCAATGTCAGACTGTTTACTTTCCCGTTCTCTCTCTCTGGCCTCCCGTTCCCGCATTTTCTCTCTCAGGCCTTTCTTTCTTTGTTTTTTCTTCTCGTCCCTCGCTTCTTCCTTTTCCTTGTTGAACGTGCTTGGTACACGTGCCGCTCCGAACCAGTCCCACCAGTCAGGGTGATCTCCCGCGCATTGGCGAAAGACGTCACGGACTGCTCTTGTACGGGCCAAGTCATAGGCAGTACGGCGCGAACCTGTACCTTGTAGAGGAGGCACATTCGATGCGTCAGATTCATTGGCAGCTGTTTCTTGATGCACGCCTAAAGATGGAACGACGATGGTTGGATCGGCGTGCAGTTCGTACAACAGCCAGCGCGTAACGTCTTCCTGACCTGATTGTACAGCGACCTGGAGCAACGATGTGCGCCTATCCTCTGTCCATTCTGGTATGGGAGCGTCGACGCCACCAAGGGAAGCGCCTTCGCGTTCCCAAAAGGATTTCAGAGGCTCTGAACGACCTTTGCTGATCATATCTAGTAATCGATACCACTTCTCACGGTAGATTTCCTCCTCCTTAGTTAATCGTTGTGGTTTTGCCTTTTCAGGTACCGCAGCAGGCGCGATGGAAGGTGTAGCTTTGGGATTGGGCAAGGAGGCCAAGAACGCTTCGTCCTGCGCCCGAAGTGCTTCCTCTGTAAGATGTGACGTCTTCACTTGAGTGAGCTCCAGGAGACATCGCACAAGCTCAGATTGAGTCTGCAGGCGGAAAAATAAGAATAACGCATGGGACAGCGGCAAAGAAAACGTACGGGTCGGCGCGTTGGAAAAGGGAAGGTCCTCAGACGATCGTCTCCTTTGTTGATGACGCAATTCTCATAGTCGAGAAAGATCCGCCTGTTAGAGACACTAGCACGTAACCAGATTCTTTCGCAGCCCTGAATGTCATCAGCCCAGTCAAGAAGAAGGTTGCGAATATCCTAAAAATATATGTTTAACTATAGCGAACAAAGGGTGAGGCGCGCTTACATCTCGGAGAGCTTGCTCGCCATAACGACGAAGCATGGCACCTGCACTAATGGCAGCACCCTTGGAATTGTCATTGACCGATTGCGAACCACCTTGTTTACGGCGAGCTGAACACGAATTGTTTCAATACAATGAATAAGACGATCATAGGTACACCTACTAGTGTAACGATGAAATGTCTTGTGTTTCAGGATTGACGTCTCCGACTTGGGTTTTGGCGGTTTCTTCTTCGTTTTTGCAGAAGTAGTAGGATCCTGATCTTCTACAGGTCTACTGACTTCTACTATTGCGCCTGCAAAGTGACCTCCGGCGACCATAAACATAGCCCACTTTCGTCCACCTTTCACACGTTCTTGAATGGTCTTCAGCTCCGCCAAGTACGACGAAGCAGGGGTATCCATTGGAAATAGCATTCTATACACCCCAAATTGAGTAGATGGAGGTGAATGGAACCAAGTAAGCGCTGTAAGCGGTATTTGTCGCTCCTCGCTGTGCGAAGGTGATCTTGATCTTCGCTTGATTTTTTTGACTAGAACCTTGACTGCATCGGAGTTATCAGAACTCTCATCAGATGATGCAGACCCTGAAAGTGAATCTTCAAGTCCTAGCTTATACGAGGCGGATTCGTGAAAGTTGATGACAAATAGTCAGGAGTGCGTACCGTCAACAAGTTGCGCGAATGCTGGCTCCGTCACAGCGCTGCCACCCCTCAGGCGAATCTTTACATTGTATCGATGCCAGTCGGATCGAAAATGAGATCTTTGCTCAGTTACGTCTGCAAAGATTGCTCCGAGACAAATGTTACACGCCCTCGCGTTGTCTGATACTGGAGGAGTTGTTTGTATGAGAGTCGAGACCTCCGTGGGTGGTGGTTGACTGATTAGATTCCGAGGTGTAAGGGTCTCCAGCAATTCAGGAGGTAGCGAAAAGACATGGTATCTCTGGGCCATTTGCGCTGTTTTTGTTAGGAGTGTGTTGATAAAACCTGAGAAAAAACAGTGGAGATATAGGGCAAACCACGGACCCGTTAAGATGACTTGGATGAGCCTAGTCACCAACCTGAACGATGCCTAATGTCATACTTCGGAAATGACCGAATTCAGTACTTATATTGATTGGCCACTAAAATTAAAAAGTTTACAACCGCCATCATGGTGTCTGCAGATTTCGCTCATCGGCCAGTCAAGAAGCTTGTGCTATTCGATGTCGATGATACGTTATCGCCCCCACGTCAGGTAATCCAGCTTCCCGACGACTAACATACTTGATGTCACGGTCGAGATCTCCTGACAGAAGGCATCTCCAGAAATAATTCAGCTCTTGCGCGACCTCAGAAAGCAGGTCGCTATAGGCTTTGTTGGCGGGTCTGATCTCGTCAAGATATCTGAACAGCTCAGTGTTGGCGATGTCAATTGTACGCAGGTTGTCATCATTGGCTGCTAAGAGACTCATACACACTCGCAGTTCTGGACGAGTTCGACTTTGGCTTCGCTGAGAATGGCCTTACCGCGTATCGACTCGGAAAGCCACTGGAGTCGCAGTCTTTTATCAAAACGGTAGGCGAAAAGGACTATCAGGAGCTGGTCAACTTCATATTGCATTACATCGCTGATGTGAACATCCCAATCAAACGGTGAATTTTTGTTATCTTTGACGGCTGATCAACAGATTCACCTGGAAATTGCAGTGGAACGTTCGTCGAGTTCCGCAATGGCATGATCAACGTCAGTCCTATCGGCCGAAATGCAACGTGGGTTCACTTAAGTTCTATTCACGGACTTGTTTTTACATCCCTTGGCTCGGCAGCGTCCAGGAACGTCGTGATTTCGAGGCTTACGATAAGGTAGTAACATGAGACAATCACTCATAATCTTACTCACCGATCAAGTGATTCTCGGCAGGAACACCACATCAGGGCGAACTTTGTGGAAATCCTGCAGGAGAAATTTAAACGACTGAATCTCACGTTCTCTATCGGTGGCCAGATATCATTTGATGTCTTCCCGCACGGATGGGACAAGACTTACTGCCTTGGACATGTCGAGAAAGATAACTTCGAAGAAATCCACTTTTTCGGGGACAAGACGAGCAAGGTAAGAGTTGAGCTTCATATTAAGTGACTTTTCATTTTCTTGACAATTCCTGCAAAGGGGGGTAACGATTACGAGATCTTCATCGATCCTCGCACTGTCGGGCACACTGTCAAGAGTCCTGCAGATACGATGAGAATCTGTAAAGAGCTTTTCCTATCATAAAGTGCTCAATTTCAGTTCGAAAGTTATGAAGTTGTACATCTGGATATATCTTACGAACAGGGTCAGAGAACTTTTAGGAATCATCAATGGGGTGGATTGTGCTACAGAGCACTCTGTAGCAAATTGTGTTTCCCTGATGGGCCATGTTATCCGGATTGAGTTAGGAACATGAATTCAACATGCCACAAACTTCCTTCCTGCAACGCTTGTTTCAATGTCTTGCACCAACTTCTCTCTCTGGCAATGTAGGCCCGACATATTTCTCTATTTTCTTTACATGGCCTTACAGTATGTACATGTACTAAATCCCACATGCTGATATTGCGTACTACTAGATGTACCCGAGTGTTCGTGCTTTTTGACGGTCTCACGTATTGCTCTCGATCCACAACACAAAATAAATATCTGATAGTCATTAGTAGATAGAATACCATTTCAGTAACATGGCCCAAATTTTTCTATACATAAAGTTGATTTGTTGTGTTACTACAGCATGACCGAGCACCACTAGTCTATCTCACCTAGTGTTCGTGCATTCGTCACACTGTCACAGGTTGCCGACATTGCCGATTAGAAGTCCGCTCCTGACCATGTGCTTTGCTCGTGAGAAATCCTCTATGCTTTTCGACGCTAAGTGTCTGCAGGATGGGAAAGGTGATTAGGATATCGTCTAGGTACATGAAGCTTCGACTTTAGCTAATCTTTGCAAAAGGAATGGTATATTGGGCAAAAGCCCACTGCAAGTGCACGAACCTGAGAGGTTTCAAGGTGAGCTGAGATCCCATAAGTCTAGGAGTGCAGCGATGCTAACTGCGAAGCTTGACACCCTTGAAGGTAGGAGGTGCACTTACAGTTGAGGTTACCACACTGGAGGCATTGTGTGCCGGGTGAAAGGTTCTAATGCTGGAGATGATTGGATGTATGGCGCGATGATAACAGCATGTTCGCACAAATAGAGCGTAAAGGCATTGCTTGACCACCTTCCCATGGATTTGACGACATTGAAGGGGACTCCTCTTAGTAGGTATTCCAGAGTTCTGCCTATTCTAAGTCCGTGACCTTTTAGATCTGGGATCTTAGCGTTGCACACAATAATACTGAGCCTTTTTGAAAGTTCTGTTTTTGAAAGGGGTCTCAAGCCCTTTGGATGCTTCCAAGCAAAAAGGTGTGCTTTTCTGTCCGCTGCGTTGATTCTGAAATGGTTTTCGAGAGCTGCTTTTGGGTCTGACAGACCGTCTTGTGCTGCCCAGAAAGTATCTTCTCCTTTGATTGGTGATGCTTTAGTGCTCAGAATGTGAAATTTCATTACGGGTAGATTGTTATGGTCGACGGCTTCAGAAACATTTTCACGCGTTATGTGGTTGGCAGGGTTGAAGGCTCTGATAGCAGGCACTGTGAATTCTCCTAGTCTAGTGATAGAGTAGAAGGTGGTGGTAATGCATGCAATATCGCGGCATCTAACAGGTCGTTGAGGTTGATATTTGCTTGAATTGTGGACAGTATTTCAATGGAGAATGGTTGATGTTTGGAAGATTTGGACGATGCTGGGGCTAATGCGGTTGCTCTGTCTAGTATGGCTTTCAACTCTTTTGTGTTTATTATCCACTGCCGTCCATGTAGAAGATGCCATGCCTTTAGGCCTGCGGCATAGTTTGCTAATTCTGTGCCTGAATATGAACTGGCACAACTGGATAGGAATGCGAGAAGCAGAGTGGGGGAAACTGGACAGCACTGGTCTTCTGGTATGTTAAGTGAGTTGCAATAAACGTGAAATACAAGAATTCCTGCTCCATATGTCTCCTTGGTAGAGTTTGCCCACGACGAGCCTATTACTTCCAGGATGCGGTCTAACTGCTCATCAGATATGTTGATATGATGTGTTTCAGGTAACGTTGGGCAAGCATTGTGAGTACTTCCTCCGGCTGGCAACCATTTATGAAGTCTTTCATGAGCCAAGCAATAGGGTCTTAAGGGTGATGGAAGAGGAGTTAGTCCTGGTTTATAGCGCATCGGGGTAGGGTTGGTTGGCACTGGCAAGGATTGGGGTGTTAATGGGGCGCTGAAACAAGGGTGTGTGGTTGTAGAGTTAATGGGAGATGGCGTTAAAGATAATTTGATCTTCTTTGATGCGGGATGCTCTAGCTCTTTCGAACACTTGTTGGCAGATAAGGGTTCGGTTGCTGACTTTGGCAGCAGAAATGGAGTACTGCCTGTTAAGGAATAGGCGGAGTTCTGTGGGAGTGAGAGGACTCGACGCATCAATGACAAGGTGTCTGATTTCAGGAGGAATGTGGGTGGGAGGGAGTAGAAGGTGTTTTGGCCCATATTTTCCTCTGGATGGACTGTCCGCAGGGTTGGATTTGCTAACGACGTATTCTGTACGGATGTAGAGGTGTCTGGGTAGAGAGTGAATGAATTCATGAATATGCTTGAACACTCTGTTGACTGCCTTGTTTTTGTGGCTTCCTTTCCACCATCCTTCAACGACACTAGTGTTATTGCTGTAGACGATGACATGTTCGCTAGTGTTAGGGAGAGCAGTGAGGGTGTATACCAGTCACTTGAAGCCAACGGCTTCTGCCCAGGCAATGTTGTGCTTTTCTCCTCCGGCTATTTGCCATCCTGGTATGAGTCTCCAAGCATTCCACCTATCATCGATGATAACGCCAATGCCTATTCCCAAGCTCGTGTCTGAAAAGGCGAGTGGAATTGAGAAGGATGCTGGCGGGCAGATTGGACAAGAGACACCACCTGTCTGCAGTAAGTTAGTCCACCAGTCAAGATTAGATGTGATGTTTTTGTTAGGACATTGGGGCAAGTGAGGGTTTCTTTGGAGAACAGCGATGGTTCTTTCAAGGCTGGTGAGGTACACTCTTCCTCTTTTGGCTGCTGCGCATGCATGCATCAGTTTACTGTAAACTTCCAATGCTTCTTGTAACACATGGGTGGGCTTCTTCCTCCATGCGTGTATAGCCGCAAGGTACTTGTCGACCTTTGTCTGGCTTAGTGAGACTGTGTGGTGGAGGATGTCCCAGAGGAACCTGATGTAGATAGTTGATGATGCAAAGGGTTGGTCTTTGTTAAGCTGCCAAAAAATTCCTAAGTCTATGGACATGTCATCTATGTCTTGGAGGTTATGAGAAAATAGAGCATCGTGTTCTGATCTTGGTGATGCATTTGAGAAGTCTCTGATGGGACAGGAACAGTTTTCGCTAAACTCTTCTATAGAACTGTCGTCAGGGGTGTGTCCACCATACCATATGCGACTGCCTGTTTGCTGCATGCCTCACTTATTGAGGTCACAGTGCCATTCTGCACGATTACAATTGTACTTGTATAAAAACTCCTTATGGATTCTAAAGAATATGTGGTCGTCGACCCACTTATCTAATGGTCCGATGCCTTGGAAACAGAAAATTTCAGCACCTGCATCAGCGACATCTCCATAGGCACCTACGGATGGGGTTGCTCCAAAGGCCATACAGGTGTCTATGTAGAACTCAGTGTTTGAGGTATGCACTACAGCTGCAGGCCATTGAGAAGGGTGGAGGGGGATGGTGCAATATGCTTCGGCTACATCGCGATGTAAAGAGTAAATCTCTGGTGGGCTCAGCAGAAATTGTACTACCTAGTCAACAATGTTTAGGTAGATCTTAGCATGACCTATGCTGCTATACTTGCAGAGCAAGTGTGTTCAATCCTAAAGGGATTGCTAATTGGTATTAGTAGTAAAAATGTGTCAGTAATGCAAATAACAAAATGTCTGATGCTGCGAAACAATGTCTGAAGGTAATCTGATGATGTCCAAAGGTACTTATCCAATGTCCGAAGCCAAAGTGCGATGTCTGAGATTTCGGACTTTCGGACTTCATGATAATAGGTCGGAAACTTTATAACGAGTGTTGGATTGTGAGTGGTATGCGCGAGTATAACAAGTGATGGAGTATGACGGTGAACGAATGGTAATATTTCGCAATGCAACTAAGAACTATGAGAATATTCTGGGTGATCCACAGAGTCGGGAAACAGCTCCTAACTACTGGATGATGATTGCTACGGGTCACTACAGAGTATTTAAGTAAGTACGTAGAAATTCGGAATACTACAGGCGAAGATAGTAGCAATATATGTTGGGTCCGATGTCCTATGTAATAAGACACGAGGTGCTGTGGATATGTAATAATGCGGTCCGAATGTCAGAAAACGTGCATGGGAATGACTACACACCTAGTGAGGCTAGTTCAGATGGACAGGACATGGGATGGACAAGTGCGTGCAAAGTGTGATCGGCCGATGTGATGTCCAATGCGCCGGATCTGATATGGAGTGGCTCGGACATGTGCAAAAGTGCGTCGGACATGCGCGCATATGTTTCAGGTGTTGACATGAGTATGAAAATACGTTGTAGAAAGCTGATTTCTGCTGGGCTCAGCAGAAATCGTACTACCTAGACAACAAATATTTAGGTAGATCTTAGCACGACCTAGTCTGCTATACTTGCAGAGCAAGTGCGGTCGATCCTATAGGGGTTGCTAATTGGTATTAGTAGTAAAAATGTGTCAGTAATGCTAATAACAAAATGTCTGATGGTGCGATGTCCTGCATGATGTGGGAATCATGCATGGACATGAATACTAGGTGACCCTCAAAAGATAAAGTCTGTTAGCTTAGTCCTCAGACTAGTCAACCCATACCTTGGTTTCAAACCATGGTCCATATTTCCAGTTTTCCCAAGTTTCATGATCTGAATATGTTTTGACGGAAAAAGTCTAATGTGAGATGGGAATCACATTTAGACCTAGTTGATGTGAGAAGAGAAATGGAGGTTAAGGTATAGCCTTGCCTTTGGCTTATTCACTTTGGCTAGAGAAAACCATAGAGAAAAGTACAAAGCCTATAAAAAACCTATCCAAAA